CGGCGGGCGGCCGCCGGCCCGCTCCCATAGCCCTGCCGGCAGCGCGGCGGCTGGCGGGGCCCCTCGGGAAGTTTGATGGCTTCTTTGAGGAGAGTCAAAGTCTTGCTGGTGTTAAACCTGATCGCCGTGGCTGGCTTCGTCCTCTTCCTGGCCAAGTGCAGACCCATCACGACCAAGAGCGGCGACTCCTACCATGACATCCATCCCAGGGCAGAAGTGGCCAACTTGACAGCCCACGGCATCAGCTCCATCCAGGATGCAGTGCTGAAGAGGCTCTCGCTCCTAGAAGACATAGTCTACAGGCAGCTGAATGGTAGGAACAGTTCTCCTGCTCTTTAATGCCTTCGGGGTAGGGTCGGTGATGGTGAATCGAGGCTCGGAGCAGGTGCCCGCCTTGCCTGAAGTTTGCATGACGGACCCCTGCTCTCCTGCTCTCCCCTCTGTTGTTGTGCAAACGGAGTCTCAACAGACTGAATCGATTTAGCATCTGATTTCCAAGTTCCGTGTGTGTGTAAAGCTCGGGGTACCTTGCACAGGATGGAAGGAAATGGTAATAACAGAATGCTGCCTTTCAGATTTATAGCGGCGGTCAGAAAATGACAGCGGCACGATTTCTGCATCAAACGAGCCGGGTGTGCGGCGGGTGAGCACGGGCTGGAGCAGTGCAGGGTCTATTGATCGGGGGAACGGCTCTTACTCCCGCAGAGCTGGGTTTGGAAGAGGAGTTTTCAAATGGCTCAAGTGTGTTGCATCATTTGAGTGCAGAAGGTCAGAAAGCAAAAGGCACTTTCTCTAAGAAGTTAAGCAAACTATTCAGTATTTCCTATGGCTCAGCACTGACAACTGCTAATTGAAATCTCAAGTAATGCTTCTCTTTATAGCACAGAAAAGGGATTTCTATTAAAATCTCACCAGGTTCGGTAGTTCAGAGATGTAGAAAGGGAATTTTAAAGATGCTGTGCAGGATGGAAAAACACATTGTAAAGATGTAAGAAATCCAGGTGAGGGATCTAATTAAAACACTCACTGTGGAAGCTGATTTTTTTAAAGTTGTTCCCCACAGATTCACAACTGGGGGTGTAATTTCAATCAAGGGTCTTGCTTATTGCTTCCAATCTCTGTAGCTTTAATCCCTGCAAGTTTCTGTGTGTTGGAATGAGCAGAGTTGGTGTTTCTGGCAGTGTCAGTGTGATTCCCTCTCCAAGTTTGGAACACAGAGCTCATGCCCCATTCTGTGCTGTGCTGAGCCAGGAGCTGGTGTGTGCTGTGTCTTGGTGCTGAGCCTGAGCTGTAGCTGGTGTCACTTTGCACCCAGGAGGAGAGGCAGGTGCAGGGATGCAGCGTGGCTTTCCAGGAGCACTTTGCTCAGGCAGTGGCTTTGGGGACAGCACTGAAGCACTCAGCTGAGGAGGAAAGTGTTACTGATATTCCTACTGTGATCACTTGCATGAGAAACCTGTCCTGTCTGTGCCTGGCACTGTGAGATGCTGAAGCGGCACTGGTGAGTGATAAACAAAGGAGAAGCATGAGAATAACAAGGAATAAGGTAGGAAGTTGAATGTTACGTGCAATCAAACTGTGAAATTGCCTGCTCCTGGATCCTGCTATGGCAGAAGTTTCCAGGAGGATTTAGGCAGTTATTTGGGCAATAACTGCAGCTCTAGATACGAGCCCTTATTCCAGGACATTGAACTAGGATAGGACAAGCAGCAGTCTGCCATCCCTGCAGACACAGGGTGAGCTGGGGTTATCACTTACTGCCCTTCTGTGGAGGTTGACCTGGGGCTCCCCACTCTGCCCTGCCCTGGGGGCTGCTCTTGGTGGTGGCTTGGGCTGCTGAGAGGGGCTGCAGGGCAGGGACAGCTCAGTGCTGTCCCCAGGCTGCTGCGGGCACGGGCAGCGCTGTCTGGAGCCTGCTCAGTGCTGAGCAGCAGTCATGCACCTACACACCAGGGGAGGCAGAGAAGGAATAGATATGTTGGCATATCACAAACGCTTTCTCAGGGCAGGCAGAAAGCTGAGCACATAAATGTGACATCTTGTCTGGCCTCTGCATCCTGGGGTGATTTATAGCAGCGCTCATCAGTCTGGCTAAAAAATAGCTCTGGCACGGCGCTTATGTAACTTTGGGTCAAGTGTATATTTGGTACATGTGGTTTTGAGAGAAGCTCAGTGCTCTGAGGGGTAGCTGTGGGCTGTGTTTCAGCAGGGCTGGGGTTTACAACAAGATGTGGGGGGGCCATCCCCACCCACCAGCACTGAAAGGAAACAGTCAGGGTCACTGGGACAGCCCCTGGGGCTGAGGATGAGGAGCAGCTGGATTGGCTTTCCTGCCAGGAATTTTCTGTGCTGGGATAAGTATTCATCCAGGGCACTTGAGGAATACCTAAAATCTCCTGTCTGCTGGAAATGTGCATTTGTTCACCATTTCTCTTTGATTTTCTTGCAGGTAGTTTTGTACTGGTGCCTCACAAACCCCACTTCAGCTCTGGGCCAAGCTCCCTGACCAATGACACCCTGAGAGATGAGAATTCTCTTTTGGCTCTCAAAGGTCACATTTCACTTGAAATCTGACCTGTGGTTTAGCAGCTACAAAATCATGGAATAAAGTTGTCTTGGTTTGAAAAGACAGGTGTCTGCTAAGGAAGGCAGGAGCCTCTCTTGAAATGGAAAATGTAAATCCCCTCCCTCTGAATTATTATAATTTTGAAAATGAGGGGCCCTCAGGCAAAGATATGGGAGTTGGAATAACAGTTCTTTATAAGGACAACTAAAACTACAAATTCAACAGTACAAAAAAACCCCCCAAAAAACAGAACAAAAAAAAACCAACCCAGAGTCAGAATAGGAGCTGAGCTCCTGTGGGTCAGGGTGGTGGCACAGCCCCATCCCATGGGGGCTCAGCCCTCCTGCAGTGCCAGCTGTGCTTCTGCTGGAGCAGGGATCCTGCACAAGGGGGGAGTTTTCCTCTGCAGCTCCAGGGCTGCTGGAGATGGGCCTGCTCTTCCTCTGGGAATGCAGGGCAGGAGAAAGCTGCTCCTCTGGCAATGCAGTGGGCAAAGGCTGCTGTGCTGTTCCAGGCTCAGATTGGATCCAGGTAGGAATGCTTGGCTCCTGCCCTGGGCACAGCATCTCCCCATGGGATGCTGGAATTTGATCAGCCCTGCAGGGACACTCAGTGGCCATGGACAGCAGAGATCTGCTGGAGGGAGGATTGGCTGTGGGGGAGATAAAGAAAACTGCCCCATGAACAGGAGAGAACTGCCCAGCTCTGACAGACAGGGATACAATACACACCCAGCTACACCTTTCAACCTTAGACAAAAGTATTATATATAGGGCAGCAAGTGGAAAGCCTGCACCTCACAGAGCATTGGGAAATGTTTAGCCAAAGAGAGAAGCTACAACCCAGTCTGGGTGCAGCCAGCTATGGATTTCTCCTGCATTATAGGACTTGGCTGGATTTCAGTGAGAGTTGAAGCCATCTTTAAAAACCTGAATGTCTTGAAAAGCTCCATTCTGTACAGATAAAATGAGCAATCACCAATCTGATCATACCATTGCTGTGGGTTTGGTTTGTGAGTCATGTAGTGTAAAGCATATTGGAAATAACAGCTCTCAGTGCTACAGCAGCCCTCATGTTTTATGTGTATGTATTTATTTATCTCTGTAAAGGTTGGCCATAAAAACAAGGTAAACATCACTGCTTTGGCTCTTGGAAAGGAGGGATTTGACACAATCCCTCTGTCTGAATGGTGCTTCTCTGCCATGCTGTTCTGGAAATAACAGCAAGCTCCCTCTTACTCCTCTCTGGGCAAGAAGAGCTGTCCCAAAGGTGGCCCAATCTGTACATTTGCTTTGTTCTTTCTAAAGGTTGATTATTGCTCTTGAACTCGTTATACAGGTTGTGTGGGGTTGGCTCTTTGCTGATCTAATGGATGGCTCCCACACACAGAGGTCCGAGGGTGCCCTTTGGGATGGAAGGGCTTTGTACGTGTAGGCACTGATCTGGGAGTTCAGAGGATTTTTAATTTCTGCAGTCTTTTTTATGGATGGAATTCTCTTGTCCAGCAGATGTCCAGAGAAAGCTAATGAAGGTCAGAAATGAATGTGTGCATTTTACTCTGGGTGTTAACTACAACTTGTCTTTTTGATCCAAGCCTGGTTTTTTATGTGCTGACATTTACATGAGTACAAATTGTGATCTAGCTTATTTCCAACTTTATGGAGATTTGCATAAATGAACTTTTTGGTTTGTGTTTACAAAGAGTGGGTTCTGTGCTGTGTGACCAGGTGAGGAGCTGAAGGGAGCAGAGACTCAGAAGGGAGCATTCAGCATTTTCAGGAGCCGTGTGCTGCTTCCTGGGAAGTACTGGGCAAAGTCTTCTCATTAGCTCATCTCATTCCTCTGGAGTTAGTCTAGGAACCCATTGATGACTATGAGGAATTTGAGAAATTGGGCATTTATAGGACCCAGAGACAGCAAAGGTGGTCCAAGCTTTGAACATCCCGCTGGCTGGAGGGTGAGTGACATGGCTTGAGGAGAGCTGGTGATTGTGTCCAGTGTCCAAAGGTACTGTGAGACCCTCTCAGTGGGATGGTCACTAAATGGTGCTGCCACTGGAAAATAGGGATTGCAGGAGGGAGAGAACTCTCAATAAACCCTGGGTACAGCCATCCCCTGTACCTGCCCTGTCTGAGCATCTGGAAAAGGTGTGAGCAGATCACCTGTGCTGCTCACTGGGGACCTGGGGAACCTCCCAGGCAGCCACCTTCTAGCCTCTGTGTCCAGCAGAGGTCTGGCTCTTGGAGTAAAGCCTCCAAGCAGTGTGAGGGCTGGAAACTCCCTCTCTGGTGCTTTGGGTGCTGCTGGATAGGAGTGGAGTCACAGCAGCAGCTGACTCCAGTACGTGCTCGGCTGCCTGGAAGCCAACGTGACAGGAATGATGTGGCATCTACTTGGCAGTGTGGAAAAACAGTACCAAAAGTCTGAACTTCAAGCTAAATATTGGTAAGACAGGGAACAGAAGGGCATTGCTGACTCATCCAGTGCTCTTCTGTTAAATTTTATTTTGTGGTCTCTCAACAGAATGGTTTGGGTTGGAAGGCACCCTAAAGACCATCCAGTTCCAGCCTTCTGCCATCCACCATCCCAGGGTGCTCCAAGCCCTGTCCAACTTGATGTATAAGATCAGGGAGACTTAAAGCTAATTGCAAATTGTTGCAATTGCTGTAAAAGAGAGAGCAGTGATAAAGGAGTGCTGAAGTGAAGCTGGCCAGAAAAGGGGCAAACAGAGAGGGCTTCTTCCCCTG